TTTGCATCAATGTTTATAAGGGATAAGCCTTTTTTCCTTCTTTTCTGGTAGTTAATTTAACTAAAGGATTGTCAGTTTTTTCTTTAGAGAAAAAGATCTCAGTTTTGTTGATAATTTTTTTATTCTCTATTTGTTTATTTATACTCTAATATTTATAACTTCTTTTCTTTTGCTAACAATGGATTTAGTTTGTTCTTTTTCTCATTCTTAGGGGTATAAAATTAGGTTGTTGATTTGGTATCTTTTTTCTTAATGTAGGCACTTTCTGCTATGAACTTTCCTCTTAGTATTTCTTTGCTGCATCCAATAAATTTGGCATATTGTGTTTTTATTTTCATTTGTCTCAAGATATTTTTAAATTTTTAATGGAATTTCTTCTCAGACCCATTGGATGTTTAAGAGTGCATTGTTTTTCACATGCCTGAATTTTCCAGTTTTCCAACTGCCATTGATTTCTAGTTTCATTCCATTGTGATTGGAAAAGATGCTTGGTATGATTTCAATCTTCTGAAATTGTTTAGTGGTCTATTATGTGATCTCTCTTGGACAATGTTTTATGTGTACTTTAGAAGAATGTGTGTTCTATCTATGTCTGTTAATTTCAGGTGGTCTCTAATGATGCTCAAGTTCTCTGTTTTCATATTAATCTTCTGTTTGATAATTCTATTAATTACTGAAGCCTGATAGTATACTATACTATTATTTTCCTGTCTGTTTCTCCTGTCAGTTCTACCAGTGTTTGCTTCATATATTTTGGTGCTCTGATGTTCTGTACCTATATATTTATAATTATTTCCTAAAATATGTTTAAAACTGTTTATTTTCCTAGTGAATTAACTTTTTATCATTATATAATGATCCTATTTATGTCTAGTTATAGTTTTGAGTCAGGTCTATTTTGCCTAGGTCGGGCCACCTCTGCTCTCATTTGTGTAAATCTTTTTTTATCCTTTCATCTTCAGTCTATGTGTGTTTATATCTAAGATGATAAATCTTGTAGAGAGGATATAGTTGCATTGTATTTTTTAATCCAGATTTTCAAATTAAATAAGTTTTACATTTAAAAAATGTATCTTTTTTAATTTCAGAGGGGAAAGAAAAGGGAGAGAGAGATAGAAACATCAGTGATGAGAGAGAATCATTGATTGGCTGCCTCCTGCATGCATCCCAGTGGGGATTGAGCCCACAACCCTGGCATATGCCCTTGACCGGAATTGAACCTGGACCCCCTCAGTGTGCAGGTCAATGCTCTATCCACTGAGCCAAACTGGCTAGGGCAAGTTTTACATTTTTTGATTTACAGTTGACATTTAATATTACATTATTTTCAAGTTTATAACATAGTGGTTAGACATTTATATAACTTACTAGAGGCTCAGTGCATGAAATTCATACACTGGTAGCGTCCCTAGAGGCTAGCGGCTGCCGGCTGGGTACTCCCTCTCTTCTCCTGGCCACCTGCCACTGCCGTCGGCTGGGGCTTCCCTCCAGGCCCCGCCCCCTGGTCGAACTCCTGGACAACTCCCGGTCAAGGGAACAATTTGCATACTATGCTTTTATTATATAGGATGAGGTGGTCCCTCAGGTAAGTCTACTACCCTTCCCCCCCCCCCAGCACCATACGTAGTTCTTACATTATTAACTAGAGGCCTGGTGCATGGATTTGTGCACCAGTGGGGTCCCTCGCCCTGGCCAATGGGGATCGGGCTGAAACTGGCTCTCTGACATCCCCCGAGGGGTCCTGGATTATGAGAGGGCGGTTCTTAGGTGACACACCCCGGAATCGGGCTCCCTCCTCTGGTTCCAGGTGCGTCACCCAAGAACCGCAGCTGCCGTCACTGCAGCTTGGCAGCTCCTGTGTTGAGTTCCTGCCCCTGGTGGTGAGTATGCATCATAGCTTATTATTATAGTGTCTGCCCCCTGGTGGTCATTGCACGTCATAGCTACCGGTTGGACGGTCACTTAGGCTTTTATATATATACTAGAGGCCTGGTGCACAAATTTGTGCACCAGTGGGGTCCCTCGGCCTGGCCTGCAGAATCGCGCCAAAACCGGCTCTCCGACATCCAACCAAGGGGCCCCAGATTGCGAGAGGGCGCAGGTCAGGCCAAGGAACCCCACTGGTACACGACCAGGGCCAGGGAGGGATGTGGGAGGTTGGCCAGTTGGGAAGGGACTTCAGGAGAGCTCCAGGGTGTGTCTGGCCTGTCTCATTCAGTCCCGATTGGCCAGACCCCAGCAGCAAGCTAACCTACTGGTCAGAGCATCTGCCCCCTGGTGGTCAGTGCATGTCATAGTGAGCAGTTGAGCAGCCTTAGCATATCATTAGTATATTACACTTTGATTGTTTGAATGGACAACTGTACAGTATTTAGCATATTAGGCTTTTATTGTATAGGATAGATTATATTCCCCAAGCTGTATTTTACATCCTGGTGACTGTTTTGTAACTGCCAATTTATACTTAATCCCTTCTTTTTTACCTAGTTCCCCACATCCCTTCCATCACTTTTTTCCTAAGTATCTATGAGTCAAGATATCCCTCCAGAGGGTACATTGTTGCAATTGATGAACCTACCCTGACATATCATAATTACCCAATGTCCACAGTTTACCTTAGGGTTCATTCTTGGTGTCAGACATTCAGATGAATGTATAGTGACACATATCCACCACTGTGGTATCATACAGAGTATTTTTACTGCCCTAAAAAATCCTCTGTGTTCTGCCTATTTAACAACCCCCTTTCTCTGCTCTTTGGCAACCACTTTTTTTTTTTTTTTTTTTAAAGACAGTTGTCTTTTTTTTTTAATATTTTATTAATTTTTTTACAGAGAGGAAGGGAGAGAGATAGAAAGCTAGAAACATCGATGAGAGAGAAACATCGAACAGCTGCCTCCTGCACATCTCCTACTGGGGATGTGCCTACACCCCAGGTACATGCCCTTGACCGGAATCGAACCTGGGACCTTTCAGTCCGCAAGCCGACGCTCTATCCACTGAGCCAAACCGGTTTCGGCTGGCAACCACTTTTTATAGTCTCCATAGTTTTGCCTTTTTCAGAATGTCATACAGTTTGAAACATACAGTATTTAGCCTTTTTAGCATGGCTTTTTTTCCACGTGGTAAAATTCATTTAAAAAAATTTTCTTCTGGCCGAAACCGGTTTGGCTAAGTGGATAGAGCGTCGGCCTGCGGACTGAAGGGTCCCAGGTTTGATTCCGGTCAAGGGCATGTACCTGGGTTGCGGGCACATCCCCAGTAGATGTGCAGGAGGCAGCCAATCGATGTTTCTCTCTCATCGATGTTTCTAACTCTATTTCTCTCGCTTCCTCTCTGTAAAAAAAAAAAAATTTCTTCTGTGTCTTTTCGTGGCTCAATAGCTCATTTCTTTTTAGTGCTGAATAATATTCCATTTTCTAGATATACTAAAGTTTATATATCCATTCACTTATAACTTGGTTGTTGCCAAGTTTTCACAATTATGAATAAAGCTGCTGTAAAAAGCCATTAAGTTTCATCTCCTTTTACATTATCTTTAAACTAGAGGCCCCATGCACAACATTTATGCACTGGCGGGGAGCCAGGGCAGGGTCCCTCAGCCTGGCCTGCACCTTCTCGCAGTCGGGGACCCCTCGGGGGATGTCTGCCTGCTGGCTTAGGCCTGGTTCTTAGCGCGGCTGCAAAGGTGGGAGAAGCTCCCACCACCGCTGCTGCCCTCGCCAGTCATGAGCCTGGCTTCTGGCTGTGCCACGCTTGCCCTGTGGAAGCGCACTGACCACCAGCGGGTAGCTCCCGCATAGAGTGTCTGCCGCCTGGTGGTCAGTGCGTATCATAGTGACTGGTCATTCCACCGGTCAGTCGATTTGCATATTAGCCTTTTATTATACAGGATTTTATTGCATTGAAGTTTTATGGCTTGTTTCCATATGTACTGTCTAAAGCAGTGATGGCGAACTCATTTTTTTGGTTGATTTTTCTTTGTTAATTGCATTTAAATATATAAAATAAATATCAAAAATATAAATCTTTGTTTTACTATGGTTGCAAATATCAAAAAATTTCTATATGTGACACGGCACCAGAGTTGAGTTAGGGTTTTTCAAAATGCTGACACGCCGAGCTCAAAAGGTTCGCCATCACTGGTCTAAGGAGTAATAGCCTTTGCCAGCTTGCCTATGATTTTTTCTTTTCGGTCTGAACTTTTGTGTTTTCTTTATTGAAAGAACATTGGCATTGCCACATTCAACTGAGGTAGGAACAGCTTCCTCTGACATCATCATATCATGAAATCCCTCTTGCCTCTTGAGTAGAGTATATCCTGCATTCTGTAAGCATTATCTTCTCCCAAAGAGCTTACAATATAACTGAAGCATGTTAAGTGTGTTAAGCAAAGTTTTATAGGGAAATTATAATAGTTACTTGTTTTATCTTTAACTCAAAGAACAGTGGTATGATACTTTGATATTTTGACCACAAACATGACAAGAGATTTTTAAAGCAAATGCCCATCTCTATTTTCAGATTTTGACATTCAATGGCATACGTTTTTTTATGTCATTGAAGTAATGGTATACATTTAATTCTATTTTTGATTATTCTGTTTAGAAATATTTCTGTTTTCGAATGTGAAATTCACTGCAACCATGATAATAAAGTATGTATAGAGTGCTTTTAAAATTCATGTGATAGTACTGATCAGTAAATATTCTATCTGAATATCCATCCAATATTTTGTATAATCCAGAGAGATGTTATTTAAAATAATTCACGAGAAATTTTATGAGTTTATCTGACTTAGAGAGTCTATATTTGAATGTTAATAATATCTGTCATTATAGGATACTAATTTCAACTTTTAATCTCTTGGAGCTTAAGCCAGAGTGTTTTTGAGAGTTTCCCATCTCAAAAACCTTTGGGAGTACAGAGATGGCTGCATGGAAACAATGAGTTTTCCTCTAACTTTTTAGTTAATATTGAACTTGTTTCTCCTCTTTTAGCTGTGCGGTCAGAGAAGAAGAGACTTAGGAAGCCAAGCAAGTGGCTTCTGGAATATACAGAAGAATATGATCAGATATTTGCTCCTAAGAAAAAACAAAAGAAGGTACAGGAACAGGTACACAAGGTATGTTCCAACATTTCAATAGTGTTTTAGTAGTCCTTTTAGGATGCTGCAATTTTCCTATATCATGTTTTGTCTTTATGGGATAATATTTTCCTTAACTACGATCTTATTTTTTTTTAAAAATATATTTTATTGATTTTTTACAAAGAGGAAGGGAGAGAGATAGAGAGTTAGAAACATTGATGAGAGAGAAACATCAATTAGCTGCCTCCTGCACATCTCCTACTGGGGATGTGCCCGCAACCCAGGTACATGCTCTTGACCGGAATCGAACCTGGGACCTTTCAGTCCGCAGGCCGACGCTCTATCCACTGAGCCAAACCGGTTTTCGGCAACTACGATCTTATTTTTGTTTGTTTGTTTATTTGTTTTTTGTTAATCTCACCTGAGGATATTTTTACATTGATTTTTAGAGAGAGTGGAAGGGAGTGGGAGAGATAGAGAGAAGGAGAAAGAGAGAAACATTGATGTGAGAGATACACATAGATTGGTTGCCTCCTGCACATGCCCAACCAGACCCTGGGATCCATCCTGCAATCAAGGTAAGTGCACTTGAACGGAATCAAATCCACGACTGTTCAGGCCAAGGGCCAATGCTCTAGTCACTGAGCCAAACTGGCTAGGGCAACTGGGATCTTTTTAAGTTTTTTACCTCTAGCTTCTGGTACAATACTTAGCATATAGTAGTTAGAAAGAAATATATAAATGAGTCTTTGTGTAGTGTGTGTGTGTGTATTTCCCCCTTTTCTTTCAAAGGTGATTTTTGGTGAATTAAGGATAAATGTTAGTAAAAAAACAGCATAAAAAATAAGTAGTATGATCCTAACTTTTTAAACAAACATAATCCCGTGTTTGATTTATTTTTATTTTATTTTTTCAGTATATTTTTATTACTTTCAGAGGGGAAGGGAGAGGGAGAGAGAGATAGAAACATCAATGATGAGAGAAACATCTATCAGCTGCCTCCTACATGCTCTCTACTGGGGATAGAGCCTGCAACCTAGGCATGTGCCCTGTCCGGGAATCGAACCAGTAACCTCCTGGTGCATGGGTTGATGCTCAACCACTGAGCCACACCTGCTGGGCATGGTTGTTATATTTCTTAACTTTCTTTAAATGTAGAAAAGTCCCTTTTTTCTTTTCCCTATCTAAGCAATTCAAGTACCACATTTGGTTTATCCATCTTCTAATGCAGTTGTGTGTGATTGCTTCTTAATAGGTGTCACTAAGCTTGTTTCTCTATCCTCTATGTTCCCTGTTAAGTGGAAATTGTAGCTAACAATTTGATAGATTAGACTTAAACATTTTTAGGTGGATTATATCATAGGTGATATTGTGTTACATAGTGCATGACATTAGAAGGCATTTAACATCCAATTAATTATTCACAGTCACGAATAACTGATTTTTCCCTTTTAAGTTAGGTTTTACTTCTTTTGCTCAAAAAGCAATATGCATCAGCCATTTCCTTGATAACTTTATTTATTTTTTATTTTTTAATATATTTTATTGATTTTTTTACAGAGAGGAAGGGAGAGGGATAGAGAGCTAGAAACATCAATGAGAGAGAAGCATTGATCAGCTGCCTCCTGCACACCCCCTACTGGGGATGTGCCCACAACCAAGGTACATGCCCTTGACCGGAATTGAACCTGGGACCCTTCAGTCCCCAGACCAATGCTCTATCCACTGAGCCAAACTGGTCAGGGCTCCTTGATAACTTTTTAAATACCAGCTGAGGATCCTTGCCTATATTGGGAGTTAGCAAAATGAAGACTTACATCTTTTTTTAAATTCTCACCCAAGGATATTTTTTCTGTAGACAGAGAATGGAAGGGATTGGCGGGGGAGGACGGGGGAAGAGACAGAGAAACATTGATGTGAGAGAGACACATCGCCTGGTTGCCTCCTGCACTTGCCCTGACCGGTGCTGGGGATTGAACCTGCAACCAAGGGATGTGTCCCTGATGAGAGTTGACCTGAGACCCTTCAGTCTAATCATTGAGCCAAATCGGCCAGGGCAAGACTTATATTTTATTGTTTCTTCTATTTTTATTAGCTGGCAATCTCAATATTTCTTATTAACTGGACATTTTTATTGTGAAATAATGAAAGGCAGAATAAATGCTTCTTTTCCAATTATTTACCAACTCAACATTAGGAGTTCATTATTAGCTACTTTAATAGGGGACATGTTAGGGAATCTTTTTTCTTCCTTTTTTGGAATTATCACTATGGCCTTAATGAATTTTTATAGCTCCAATCAATTATATTTTCCCCTCTTTAAAAATTTATAGCCCTAGTTGGCTTGGCTCAGTGGATAGAGCGTCAGTCTGCAGACTGAGGGGTCCCGGGTTCGATTCCGGCAAAGGGTGCACGCCTGGGTTGCGGGCTCGATCCCCTTTGGAAGGTGTGTGGGGGAAAGCTGATCGGTGGTTCTCTGTCATCATTGGTGTTTCTGTCTCTCTCTCCTTCTCCCTTCCTCTCTGAAATCAATAAATATATATATTTTAAAAATTTATAGTGAAATATATACAGTAATCTCTTTCTATAGTTTTAGTTACCATGATCAGAAAATACTAAGTGGAAAATTTCAGAAATAAACAATTCATGTTTTAAATTGTGCGCCGTTCTGAGCAGCATGATGAAACCTTGAGATGTAATGTTCTGCCCTCCTAGATCATCAGTCATCCCTTTGTTTAGCCCTTCGTCACTTAGTAGCCTTCTTGGTTATCACATCAATTATGTATTGCAGTGCTTGTATTCAAGTCACTCTTATTTAATAATGACTCCAAAGTGCAAGAATAGTGAGGCTGGCAATTCAGATATGGCAAAGAGAAGCAATAACGTGCTTCCTTTAAGTTGGGTGGGGAACATCTGGCCCGAGGGCTGTATGAGGCCCAGGAAATAATTTGGTGTGGCCCTGCCAAGGTATTATGGATGAGTTAATTAACCTGCCAAATATAGCAGGTTAATTTTAAGTAGATAATTTTGTATGGCCTGTGAATGATGTTGTAAATATACAAATGGCTCTTGGCAGAAAAAAGGTTCTCCATCCCTGCGAAATGAAAGGTGAAAGTTCTCAATAAGGAAAGAAATAATTGTAGGCTGAGATTGTTAAGATCTATCATAAGAATGAGTATTCTATCAATGAAATTGTAAAGAAGGAAAAAGAAATTTGTACTAGATTTGGTGTTGCACCTCATGCAAAAGCTACAGCTCCCGTGGATGATAAGTACTTATTTAAGATAGAAAGGCACTAAATTTGTGGATAGAACACATGAACAGAAAGGTGTTTCAATTGAGGGCAATGTGTTCTGCCAGGAAGCATTGAGCCTAAATTAAGACTTCAGCAAGGAGTCCCCTGAAATGAATGACACCAGGCCATTGGCTGCAAGTAAGGGATGGTTACACAGATTCAGGAGAACATTTGGCTTTTTGTCATCTCATATTATCACAAGAAGAAGAGTACAGTGTAATAAGGTATTTTAAGAGAGAAAGACTGCATTCACATAACTTTTATTATAGTACATTGTTATAATTGTTCACCTTTATTATTAACTAGAGGCCCGATGCACGAAATCTGTGCAAGGGGCTCAGCCCCTGCCGCTGTGGCGGCCGCTTCTGCCTTGGTGCCCACATAGACCCCCCCGCTGCCACATTGCCGCCTCTGCTGCGGCTTTGTCCAGAAGGACGTCCGGTCTAATTAGCATATTACACTTTTATTATTATAGATTTTTGTTAATATCTTAGTGTACTTAATTTATAAATTAAACTTTATCATAGGTATAGGAAAAAACATAGTATATATAGGGTTCAGTACTACCCAGGGCTTCAAGTATCCACAGGAGGTCTTAAAGCATTCCCCTGCGGGTACTACTGTATAACATAAAATTTATAATTTTAACTATTTTTAGGTGTATAGTTCTGTGCCATTAACTACATTCACATTGTTTTGTAACCATTACCACCATTCATCATCTTCAGAACTTTTTCATGTTCCCAAACTGAAACTCTGTACTTATTATTTAAAAACTTCCTAGTTACCCCTTTTCCAACCCAAGGCAACCACCATTCTATTTTTCGACTCAAGTCAAGATATACAATATTTATTTGATTGTGATTAGCTTTTTTCACTTAGTGTAATGCCGTCAGGGTTCATTCTCATTGTAGCATGTGTTATAATTTTATTTCTTTTTAAGTGCATTATTCTTTTTGACAGTCAAATTACAACTTTGGCCTATGGATTCTATTTTTATTTTTTGCTCTTAGGTGAGCTCCCGCTGTGAAGAAGAAAACCTTTTAGCTCGAAGTCGATCTAATGCTCAGAACAAGCATGTGGATGAGAATTCATTGATTTCAACCAAAGAAGAGCCTCCAGTTCTTGAAAGGGAGGCTCCGTTTTTGGAAGGGCCCTTGTCTCACTCAGAACTTGGAGGTGGACATGCTGAGTTGCCGCAGCTGACTTTGTCTGTGCCTGTGGCTCTGGAAGTCTCTCCACGCCCTCCCCTTAAATCTGAGGAATTGCTAGTTAAAACACCAGGTAAGATGGGGATGGGGTCTTAGTATGTAAGTGGATATGACTAGAGAAAGCAGGGGATTTTAGTATGTTTTATTGTAGTATGTTTTGATGGAAAGCCAGTGGTGTAAAATGTACAACAAAACTACCCACTTGGTTCTGAGAAGTCCCAGCGTACTGGCTAAATGGATAAAATGACCATAAATTGGTTACACACTGTTAAGAAGACATTTTTAAAAACTGCTCTCCTTACTCCATTGTTGCTGTTCACGACTGTTGATCAACTACCATGTGAGTCAACACCAAGATAGCTGGGTTTTTGAGGAGAGGCATTGCACACTGTGAAACTTATGCTTCAGATACTGGCTCACCAATCCTTGTGTTACATGGGAAGTTGTTTAACTGCTAAACTTATTTCCTCATCTATAAAATGGAGATTATAATATAATAATGTATAATGTAATTTACCTGATACATAGGAAGCAGTTTTGTGTAAATATTCTCTTGGAAGTGAATTGCCGATTGGTTTTCACTTTGTTATTCTTTATATATGTGTCAGCTGATGAGAGTTGGATCTAACTAAACATACTGTCTAATTCATTTTCTGACTATTGAATATTGTGGTCAGTAAAAGTTGGGTTGTAGCTTTTTACATTCCCAAGAATACCTTGTGATTATATTCCTTTAAGAAAAGTATCCTAATTGTGTTTAATCAAGTAAGGCAGAATCAAAAAGACTTTAAATAGAATAATAGTTACTATTTCATTACCTACTGTGTGCCAAACTCTGCTATTAGGCTTTTAACATAATTTTTAAGAACAGTCCTGCAAAGTAAATAAATGTCTTTTATTTATTTAGGAGCAGAACAAAAATTCTAATCCTAGTCCTAATCCTAGCCCAGAATTCAGGCTGTACCTCACCGTACTTCTCCTTTGGTCCTTACTATTATTGAATTCCTCTAAAGGCAGTTCTGCCCTTTTGATATCTTCCTGTGTTCTTTTGTGATTACACACACACACACACACACACACACACACCCTCACATTAGTTTGTCTATATTGAGAACTATATTTTTTTTTTTTAAATATTTTATTGATTTTTTACAGAGAGGAAGGGAGAGGGATAGAGAGCCAGAAACATCGATGAGAGAGAGAGAGAAACATCGATTCAGCTGCCTCCTGCGCACCTCCTACTGGGGATGTGCCCGCAACCAAGGTACATGCCCTTGACCGGAATCGAACCTGGGACCCTTCAGTCCGCAGGCCGACGCTCTATCCACTGAGCCAGACTGGTCAGGGCGAGAACTATATTTTATATTAAGTAACATTTTAGAATAAATAAATTCCTACCCTGCCCCTCCCCACAAGATGATGAGAAAAACATTAAAAAAATATGATGAGTCATTTTTGTGTCGTGTATAGATTTTTAAAAATTAGCTTGTGCCCAGTTTCTACATAATCTAATGAAAAGATATATGTATTTCAGGAAATTATGAAAGTAAGCGGCAGAGAAAACCAACTAAGAAACTTCTTGAATCAAATGATTTAGACCCTGGATTTATGCCCAAGAAAGGGGATATTGGCCTTTCTAAAAAGGTATGTTATTTTAGTCAGTGTAAATGCTGAATATATATATAGAAGTTATAGAATGCCAGCATATACTTGATTGATCTGAGAGATCCTATATAGAGACTATTTTGCATTTATGTGGAAATGTGTGTCATTTGGTTTTAGGTTTTCATTACAAATGAAAATGAAAAAAGCTTTTAAGATTGAGTAAAGCGTAAGCCAGTCGGAGAAAGATAAATATCACATGATCTCACTCATATGTAGGATATAATGATCAACAAATTTGATGAACAAAAATAGATCCATTGACAAATGGCAGGGGAGGAGGAGGGGTTAGAGAGCAACCAAAGGACTTCATGCATATTAGCATAATCAATGGACACAGACACTGGGGTGGTGGCGGCTTGCCCGGGGTGAGAATGGCTGGTGGTGGAGTGGGGCATCAATCCGGGGGAAAGAGGAGACATGTGTAAAACTTTAGACAATAAAAATTAAGATTAAAAACAACAAAAAAAGATTGAGTAAAGTTTGTGTTTGTTGTAATTAAACATTTAAACTTAAGGTTTTGAGTTTGCAGTCTTGGTTTTTCATTAGCCAAGAAGGCATCGTTAAATAGTAGATGGAAATAGAAAATTATTTTCTAATTCTATAATGAAGGAATAGCTGGATACTGATTTCTTAAAAAACATCTTGTGCCCCTTAAGTGTGAGGAATGGTAGTTAGAATTTCAGTTGGAGGATGCACAGATTTCCTATTAAAATTTTTTTAAAGAATAACTACATATTTTATTCAATGATTTGAGTTTTTGGACTTCTTTCTTTAGCTATAGGAAATTCTTGTATTTTTAATCCTACATTAAGGCCTCTTAAGTTATTTTTTTTTGTTATTTAATATATTTTTATTGATTTTTTAGAGGAAGGGAAAGTGGGATGGAAAAATAGAAACATCAGTGATGAGAGAGAATCATTGACCTGATGCCTCCTACACGCCCCCCACTAGGGATCAAGCCTGCAACCCGGGCATGTGCCCTTGGCCAGAATCGAACCCAGGATCTTTCAATCCGCAGACTGACACTCTATCCACCTAGCCAAACCAGCTAGGGCAAGGCCTCTTAAGTTTTTGTTAGATATTTACCCATCTAGATTAGTGCATAAATGTAAATTTTTTTTTTAAATACATTTTATTGATCTTTCACAGAGAGGAAGGGAGAGAGACAGAGAGTCAGAAACATCAATAGAGAGAAACATCGATCAGCTGCCTCCTGCACATCCCCCACTGGGGAAGTGCACGCAACCCAGGTACATGCCCTTGACCGGAATCGAACCCGGGACCTTTCAGTCCGCAGGCCGATGCTCCATCCACTGAGCCAAACCGGTTTCGGCCATAAATGTAAATTTAATTTATTTGTATTCTAACTCCTTTTTTAATTTCATTTTTAAAAAATTAAACTTTTATTGTTGAAAGTATTACATATGTCCTCTTTTTCCCCCAGTTGACCCCTTCTGTTGTATTCCTCCCCCACTTCACCATCCTGTTTATTGTCTGTGTCCTTGGGTTATGCGGATATACATACAAGTTCTTTGGTTGATCTCTTCCTACCCAACCACCCATCCTCCCCCGCCTTCCCTCTGAGATTCTGCAGTTTGTTCTATGCTTTTATGTCTCTGGATCTATTTTGTTCATCAGTTTTATTTTGTTTATTAAATGAAATTTTTAATTTATTTGTGTTCACATTCCTCATTTTAGAAACTGCATTAAATCCTTTAAATTCTTTTATTCTTCTCAGTCTTATGACATGGACTTTTTATTTATTCTTTGCTCATTTCCTGCCCTACAAACCTTCTCTGCAGTTTATACAGCCTTCCATGATATCATGTCTACAACTCACTATCCTCTCTTTGTACCTTACATTCTAGTAAGACTATGATAATCTCCTTCTGCAGTGCTTTCTCTCCTGTCTTATTCAAATCTTATCTCTTTTGCAAGATTCTGGAAGAGGTAGATGGGAAGGGCCAGGTAAACTGGAATTCAGTTGAATATTTTGTGCATAGAGTGATATTTGCAGTCAGATGATAAATTTAGTAGTATTATACATGGTGAGTCATGGAAGGCTCACATGAACATGAGGAAAGTAGTATTCTTATTATTTATTAACTAGAGGCCCGGTGCACGAAATTCGTGCATGGTTGGGGAAGGGGCGGGTGTCCCTCAACCCAGCCTACACCCTCTCCAATCTGGGATCCCTCTCACAATCTGGGACTGTTGGCTCTTAACCTCTTGCCTGCCTACCTGCCTGATTGCCCCTAACCGCTGATCTCTTCCTACCCAACCACCCATCCTCCCCCGCCTTCCCTCTGAGATTCTGCAGTTTGTTCTATGCTTTTATGTCTCTGGATCTATTTTGTTCATCAGTTTTATTTTGTTTATTAAATGAAATTTTTAATTTATTTGTGTTCACATTCCTCATTTTAGAAACTGCATTAAATCCTTTAAATTCTTTTATTCTTCTCAGTCTTATGACATGGACTTTTTATTTATTCTTTGCTCATTTCCTGCCCTACAAACCTTCTCTGCAGTTTATACAGCCTTCCATGATATCATGTCTACAACTCACTATCCTCTCTTTGTACCTTACATTCTAGTAAGACTATGATAATCTCCTTCTGCAGTGCTTTCTCTCCTGGCTTTGTCTTATTCAAATCTTATCTCTTTTGCAAGATTCTGGAAGAGGTAGATGGGAAGGGCCAGGTAAACTGGAATTCAGTTGAATATTTTGTGCATAGAGTGATATTTGCAGTCAGATGATAAATTTAGTAGTATTATACATGGTGAGTCATGGAAGGCTCACATGAACATGAGGAAAGTAGTATTCTTATTATTTATTAACTAGAGGCCCGGTGCACGAAATTCGTGCATGGTTGGGGAAGGGGCGGGTGTCCCTCAACCCAGCCTACACCCTCTCCAATCTGGGATCCCTCTCACAATCTGGGACTGTTGGCTCTTAACCTCTTGCCTGCCTACCTGCCTGATTGCCCCTAACCGCTTCTGCATGCTGGCCTGATTGATGCCTAACTGCTCCCCTGCCGGCCTGATCGCCCCCAGCTGCCCTCCCCTGCCGGGACCCGCCTCCTTTGCCAAGACCCACCTCCAGGCGGTGGAGACTCCGGGACTGGCCTCTTCCGTGCCACACAGAGCCACGGGACCCCCCAGGCCTCACCACGCGGAGCGGCCACCGGGCCCCGCCTCTGCTGTGCGCACAGCCATCTTGTGGTGGTGTTGTGCGAGGGCGTGATGCCACCTAGGCTTTTATTATATAGGATGTATATAGTAAGCATTTGGAAATTCACACCTGTATTTTATCTTGTTTTGTCTTGAAACTTTGTGAACTTTATATCAAGAATGGTATCTATTGTTTTGACTTTTTGTGGCGACTAAATTTTGTTTTATAGTCATAACGAAGAAAATTATTTTTGTGGGAAAAAGACGTTTTCTAGAAATGGAACTGATTCATACTGTGAATTACTCTTGATGTTTAAGTGTTTTGTCTTAATAGTGCTGTAATTTATATTAATTAGAAAGATATTTTATGATTCATATTTTTTAATATAATCCCATCAAGTAAACAACTATATAAATCTAATAATTATACATACAACTTTACAAATGGAGATTTTAAATACAGGGTGGAATAGAACTGAGGGCGTGAGTCTCTGGGTACATAACCCTTCTCTTTCTCCTCCCACTTTAGAGCTATATTCTGTATCTACGTTTAGAGCATTTAAAAAAAATCTGATGCCTTTCTCTATGAAGTTTTTGTTAAACCAGGATTCTGTATCTATGGCAGTAGACTGTTCAGCTTTTGGTATATACTAAAAAGGGTTTATTTTATGTTGCATTTTACTTATTTGTAGTGTTATGAAGCTGGTCACTTGGAGAATAACATTGCTGAATCATGTGGTGCATCTCATTCTAAAAAGTTTGGTGGAGGTGAGTATTTATGAGATTTTAAAAATGTAATGCAAAAAAGAGTGTGAAGCACCTTGTCAGTTAACTAGAAAAGTTATTATGTATGTAGGGAAGACCAGTGAGGTTGAAAGTTTAAAGATGTGTTTGCCCATAATATGCATACTAAAACTATGCATGACTCTAGAAAATTATATCACTTTCAGCTTGATCTGAAATTAGTTAGATGGAATTAGAATTATATTAGTGTAGCCATGGCCAGTTTGGCTCAGTGTATATAGTTTTGGCCCACGCAGTTGGGGTGTATGCGAGAGGAAACTAATCGATGTGTCTCTCACATTAATGTTTCTCTCTCTCTCTGTCTCTCCTTCTCCAGCTCTATCTAAAAATCAGTTGAAAAATGTCCTCAGGTGAGGATTAACAACAACAGCAAAACGAATTATATTAGCGTAAGAAAATGTTAGGAACAGTAGAGAAATACTAGCTTTTTTTTTAAAAAAAAAAATATTTCATTGATTTTTTACAGAGAGGAAGGGAGAGGGATAGCGAGTCAGAAACATCAATGAGAGAAACATTGATCAACTGCCTCCTGTACACCCCCTACTGGGGTTGTGCCCGCAACCAAGGTACATGCCCTTGACTGGAATCGAACCCGGGACCCTTTACTCTGCAGGCTGACGCTCTATCCACTGAGCCAAACCGGTCAGGGCAAATATTAGCTTCTTAATTTTCTGTTTAAACAGTTCTCCAGAATGCATCATTATTGTTTTGGTTTTGGCTCAATTTTTGTTCCTATAGGACAGAAAATATGGAATCTTAATTGAGAGGGAAATTATAAATCATCTAAGCCAGTGGTTGGCAAACTGCGGCTCGCGAGCCACATGCGGTTCTTTGGCCCCTTGAGCGTGCTCTTCCACAAAATACCACTTGCGGGCGCGCATGTACAGTGCGATTGAAACTTTGTTGCCCATGCACAGAAGTCGGTATTTTGTGAAAGAGCCACACTCAAGGGGCCAAAGAGCCACATGTGGCTCGCGAGCCACGGTTTGCTGACCACTGATCTAAGCCAGTCTTTGACAAACAGTCTTAGTTTCTTTTTATCACACTACTAGAGGCCCAGTGCATGACATGCGTGCACTGGTGGGGGGAGGTGTCCCCTCAGCCTGGCCTACACTGTCCAGAAGCCCTCGGCGGATGTCCGACTGATGTCAGTTGAGCATCCTTAGCGCTGCCATAAAGGCAGCAGAGGCTCCCGCCACGACCGCTGCGCTTGTCAGCAGTCAGCCTGGCTTCTGGCTGAGTGACACTCTCCCTATTGGAGCACCTGACCACCAGGGAGCAGCTCCTGCATTGAGCGTTTGCACCCTGGTGGTCAGTGCGCATCATTACAACCAGTCGTTCCGCCGTTTGGCCGATTTACATATTACCCTTTTATTATATAGGACCAGAGGCCCGGTGCACAAAATTTGTGCACTCGGGGGGAAGGGGGGAGGTCCCTCAGCCCAGCCTGTGCCCTCTCGCCGTCTGGGAC